AAATTAAAAATATATTAAATATATTTTTTATTATAAATATACATAAAAAATATAAAAATTGATATTAATTTTTAATATTAATAATTTTAATTAAATAGTTGATAAATTAAAAATTAATTTTTATTATTTTAATAAAAACTTATAATAAAAAAATATTTAATAAATTTTTAACATTTGTCCTCAAAATACAAATAAAATAAATCCTTTAAAAAATTATCCCTGCATTATTGCATCATAAATGCTCACTCTTTTCCAATATCTCAATCAATTTTTGAGATTTTGGGACAGAGAATTTTATGGTCAATTTATCACTCCTTGAGAAATAAATTTGGTGAAATCTCACTTGAAGAAAATCAAAGATTTATTATATATAATATTGCATTTTTTCTCTCCTTCACCATATAATATTATAATCTATATCCTCAAAATCACATCATTCTCTTTTAAGCATATCATGTTGTCGCCATTTTCTCTCTGGTCTTCTGTACATTTCCTCTCTCCTTTTCTGTAAAGACAAAATCCGTGGATCTATCCTTCTCCTCACATTCTCTCCACTTTCCGTCTCCGCCTCTAACTACCACTGCTGCGCCTCTCCCCTCCGCTCCGCATATCCAAGATCACCAATGCCTTTTCTTCAGATCTATCTTCACTAACCATCCAATTTCCCTTCCCTGTCTATATATCTCCACCAATTCAATTCGCAGTGAGTAAGGAAAATGTGCAGTGTTCTTTCAGATCCGACGTTCGGAATTCATCTGGCCCCTGTCGACCACTTCGACTGCTTGCCTGATTCGCTTCTTCTTCTTGTCTTCAACAAGATCGGTGACGTTAAGGCGTTGGGCCGATGCTGTGTGGTTTCCCGCCGGTTTCACTCCCTTGTTCCTCAGGTTGACAACGTTGTTGTTCGGGTTGATTGTGTCATTTCCGATGACGATTCGTCCTCGTCTTCTTCATCCTCGGACAAGTCCCGGGTGGCTGGCCCGTTTTCCAACCTGGTTAGGCTTTTGTTTGGGGGCATTGTGAAGCCTCTGCAGGCGATTGGTCAGTTTCTTGTGCCTAAACGGGGAATAGCGAGTGATAATCTAGCCACTGGTTCTTCTTCTTACTCTGTTGGTAGTGGAGGTGAAGATGACGGAGAGATGGACCGGGGTGGAGTCACGCATCACTCCCCTACGCAGGTATTGAGAAATTTTAACGAGATTCGGTTCCTCCGAATTGAGCTGCCCGACGGGGAGCTGGGGATCGATGACGGTGTGTTGTTGAAGTGGAGGGCCGATTACGGGTCTACCCTTGACAACTGCGTGATTCTTGGTGCATCCTCTGTGATCAACAGTAAAAATTTGCAGGGGCTGGACAGTGGGGCTGATGGGTTTTGTGCGAGCGGTGGTGCTGTTGTTGCTGAGGATAATGGGGTCATACCGGAATCCTTTCAAACCAACGGTAGCTTAAAACTAAGGGTGGTTTGGACGATAAGCTCATTGATTGCTGCATCTGCGAGGCATTATTTGCTTCAACCAATCATCGCAGAGCACAAGACCCTCGATAGCTTGGTCTTGACGGATGCTGATGGGCAAGGGGTGCTCTGTATGAATCGGGATCAGCTTGAGGAGTTAAGAGTGAAGCCCTTATCAGCTTCTTCTGCCTCTAAGAGGACGCTTGTGCCAGCGCTGAATATGAGGCTCTGGTATGCTCCGCACCTGGAGTTACCCGATGGGACAGTGTTGAAAGGCGCGACTCTGGTTGCAATAAAGCCTAGCGAGCAGTCTGCTTCCAAGAAGGAGGTGTCCGATGGGTCTTGGTTATCGAATGCATTTCAGGAACCATATGGCACCGCGGCAAAGATGCTTGTCAAGAGACGGACCTACTCTTTGGAGATGAACTCGTTTTGATCTGAGGTAATATCATAAAATTTCTTTTCCTTTTCAGTTGATTAGATTTTTTTTATGCTATTTGCATTTTGATTAATTTGTATGAATCAAAAGAGACTAGTCTAAAGAACCTTTTGTTGTATGTCTTTGTTGTTTAATTGCTGGATATATGTGCTTTATTCACTTAAGGACCAACATCTGCTCTTTTTTGTTTTTTAATGGAAGAACATCTGTTCTTAGTTTTGCTTATAGTGCTTTATGCTGTATATTCATAGGCTGAAGTTACCTCACACCCGAAATGCTTTAAATTTTTATTTTAGCTGTTGAAATGCCTTCAATTTGTTATCGGCTTTTGTTATCTCAAATTTTGAGGGAAGAGCATGATGTTTTGGAAAGAAATAATGGGGTAAATTCCAGTTGGCATTCTCTAAAGTTACATTAGAAATAAAGTAAATGTTCTTACTTGAATTAGATGTCAAGTTATGGCAAAAAAAAATGATGCCAAGGAAAAGTTTCTCATATTTTATTCACCCCCAAGACTCACTTACCTAAGATCATTTGGGTTTTATTTTTTAATTAAAAAGAGATACGCACTTCACTTTTTCCCTTGGTTTTTGTTTGGAATCTGCTTGTTTTATCTCATAAATAAAAATGTACTATGTACTTTTCAGGGAAAGCACAATGGTTAAAGGAAGAAGAGATATGCATGCTTCCACAATATGAAGATTCAGGCAACAATTTTGTTTAATCATAGTTTGTGCTGAGTCCCATAAAGCTAAATCTACTTTGGACCACCGGGGAAACACAAATCATGCATGTTCATAAAGTGCTGCAAGTCTCTCTGCGCTTATGTGCTTGAACTGATAACTGAAATGCATCTGCTGGCTGTTTTTATTTGAGGCATATGCTTTGAGACTGCACACCTGCAACTAAATTGGTTTTGTTAGAGCTTTGAGTTTGTAGTTTTACCATATCCATAATCCCCCTAATGTGAATATTGTAGGTATGAATATGTCATGCTTATGTTATATACTTCTGAAGTTCATCAAGCAATGTAGTTTTCCTTTAGCTTAATGTTTCCTGGATTAATAAATTTTAGCGTGTTACAATGGAATGTATTAATTCTGCAGTTCTGTCATTGCAAATTCTTAGATGGTGCAGGAGTTTCTTTAAATTTACTTTGAAGAAGGATGCATTTTCCTGACTTGAATGGATTGGAACTTTGGATATAGGTTGCTTCTGATAATGAATTCATGATTTACTTTTTGGTCATTATAATGATAAATGAAAGGCAAAGAATTTATATCAGGACCATGAGGCATGAGCATGGTTATGAGTATATGCTTGGTTAAGGATCTAGGGTACTTTTACTGAACTTGTTAGTATAGAAGAAGGAATTTCTTATCATCTTAGATGCTTGATATGCTTCCAGCTCCAGGTTAGATCCATGCATGGACGATGGTGTGATACTGGGCCAACGCTTGAATTATCAAATTTTGTAGTCATGGAAGTAATGCTGCCTCTCTTTTGTAGTTGTGCTGGACTGGGAAGATGCCTTGCAGCCTTGCTTCTCCTGTTTCTGTTATGTTAAAATCAGAGGGGGGCTAATGCTAGAAAATAAGAAATGCTATACGTGATACACCTTTTCACAAAACAGGTTGTAGATGGTTTTGTCCTTCCCTAAAGCACTCTCCTTCTCTTCTGGGTATGAAGAGACAGCCTGCCCTACAAGGCTGTAAACAGTAATCATTTTTAGGAATTATCATATCTAGTTTTGGATCCCCTCCCCACCCTCCTTTACCAGAAAATTAAACAAACCAAGAGAACTTCTAGAAGGTTGTGGTGGGTCTACATATTTCTTGCACCTTTGAATTCTAAATCTCTTATCAAACTCAAACAGTTTCTGGTAGCAACTAGTACTCTTCCTCATTTTCTTCATCATTCATGATCCTGTATTATTGAGAGAAAAGGAGAGAATTCTTTTGCTTTAATTTCTTCTTAAACTGGATATCAATTATTTGCCTATTTATTTATTTATTTCGTGTACGGAAATGAAATGGGGAAAGCCCAAAGGAAAAGCATACCCAGGAATCACTTGATGTTCACTACTAATTTTTTTTTCCTCTTTTTCTTTTTTTAAAAAAAATCCATCTTTCATTATTGTTTAAATCCTTAATTTGGTCCTTGCACTATTGTATGGACCTTGATTTGATCCTTGAACTTAAAAAATCCTTGATTTGGTTCCTAAACTATTGTACATACTCAATTTGATCCACACTATTTATCAATTTAGCCCAAGTTAATTCTTCTGTACAAAAAATAGTTGACATGTCCTGTTATTAACGTGATAAGTGATCGTTAAGTAATTGTTTTTTATTAAGTAACGGATACGTCAACTATTTTTTACAAAGAATGATCAACTTAGGGCGAATTGATAAACAGTCAGGATCAAATTGAAGTCAGTACAATAATTTAAGGATTAAATTAAAGATTTAACTTTCATTATTTAGGGTTCTTCCTCTATGCTTTTTTCGATGCACGTGAAAGGAGTCTGGGCACTCTCTCTCTCTCTCTCTCTGCGCTTCACACACTCTCGTGAGGAAGAAAAAAGGCAAATCCCTATTGACTTTTCCCCTATTTTTGATGCATAATATCCTCTTAAACGAAAAACAATTTTATCTCCTCTATTTACACCCCCCACCCCCCCACAAAAAAAGATAACAATTGAAGAAAATCAATTGTACATGTCATGTTTGGGTTAATAATTACTCTTGTTTGTTTATAATTATAATGAACAGATATATAGGTATGGTAATGAAGCCCCCACATGTTTATTTTTATGCAGGCAATGGTTGTCACCATGAGAAGGAAAAGCAGACGAAATCATACTGGGAAAATTACTATTGTCATGTTTTTTTATCAGGAAAGGCAATTTCAATTGTCATGTTTTGGGAATGCACATGTTATTATGTTTTTAATTTGGTTTGATCATTTCTTAGGCTCCCCCACATTCTTTTCCGGGCACATCACATTTCAAGTTCTGTGTATTTTTTGATGCTATTTTAAGTGCTTTTCCTTCACCTTTGAGCCATCTTTCCTCGCTACATTAGAGGAGGATATGGATGACACTTTCAAATCAATTTTATGCCTGGTATCGAGTATGATGGTTATACATAATTAAGTGAATGCATGAAATGGTAAAAAATTAAATCATAATTCAATACATGGTAACTTGGTGTTCAACAAAGTGCAATGAGTTTATATATATGGTTTTAAGTAATGAAAATGTAGTTTCAAGAGTTCATTTTTCCACCAATAATTATAAAATATAAAATCCACACATAACAAGTTACACTTCACTGTTCTATTAAAGTAATTATTACTTGATAATGAATAAAAATTATTGCAAATTCTTGGGTATCCTTCTGCTGGAACATTTTTTGCTGCTTGGAGAAAAAGTAAAATACTTTGGCGCTTTCAGGGGCAAAGGAAAATACCTCCAAATGAGCAATAAAAAGAACAAGAGAAATGGACGTAAATAAGGATGTTTTCTTTAAAGAGAAACGCAAGCATCAACCGTGTCTTTTTTTTTCCCTAGGAAGTCTTTTGAGAACATGGCATGTCTGATGCATCTTCAGCTTTTGTGGGTACATTTCCTCAGCTGCAAGTATTGCTGTTGCCTCCGTGATGAAAATGCATTAGGCCCCTACTCAACTCAACTCAACTTTATAGTCCAAGGATTAGGAAATTTGGACATATACCAGACTGATTTGACTCAAATATCTTGATAGAACAGCAATTTGTTCAAGTACAATTAGCTGAGCATAGCGCAGAAGCAATTAAGGACAAGCCTCCAAATTTAAATTTAAATTTTAAATTTTTTTTTTTTTTGAACATATTTACAAAGGGTGAGTTTCAACTCGGGAGGGGGAAATGCACCAGAGTGGCTATTGCCACTAAACCTCATGGGTCAGGTGCAAATTTAAATTTTAAATTAAACGAAACAAAAGAGAACTAAAAAAATTTATCCTTTTTTTATATGATGTATCATCAAATGTAAAATATATATATAGAGCAAACCAAAAGCAATCAATCTGATGTACAGAAACAGAGGGTGGACCTGACGTTCAATGAGAATAGCCCAGTCGAATTCAGTTTATTATATTGGACACGATTTGACAAGCCAACCCTGCAATCAGTGGTTGGAGTATACGACATACCATGAAACCAAACAATACCAAAAATGACGGAACAAAGCAAAGGTAACGAGACAGAAATAGCGAGAGAAACCAAGGTTTATTTTCTTCTCAAACAAGTATAGAAGGAAAAGAACGGCTGTTGTGCTGGGACCTGAAACAGTGACCCAGCTCCATTCATTCACAAGGCCAACCAAAAATATATTTTCTTCTCAAACAAGTATGGAAGGAAAAGAAGGGCTGTTGTACTGGGACCTGAAACGGTGACCCAGCTCCATTCATTCACAAGGCCAACCAAAAATATAGACAGTTTTGAGGATCGTTGTCAACAAGCAAAAAAGAATAACTTCAATCGGATTGTTTTGTTGAAACACACAACGCTTTTGCACGCATAGATAGAAATATATCATAATACTGGAATGCCATGGAATGACTTCAAGATGGATAAAGCAGAAATAATAACAATTCCGGAAGGAGACATTAAAAGTGCATCAGCAGATGATGCAAGGAAGGAATGCATCCACTCAGCTTTTACAGCTTCTGCTTCTCCATCTTTGCTTTCCTGCATAAAAACATATTCACTAATATGAGATTCTTTTCTTGCTATATAGAAAAACTAATTGTGTAAAAGCCTAAAAGGTATTTGAGACAGATAACTAAGTGAAGTAAGATAAGAGTATTCATTGAACCAAGCTTCAGTGATTTGTTCCACGTTGAAGCTTCGAATACGTCCTTCCTTTGGCCTCCAAATGCACAAAAAATAAAGGAAATAAGTATTTGAGCGGTATCATTCTCCTTTGAACGTCATTACATAGGACAACAGACCTAGAATTGGTAAAGAAATATGAGCGGACAGTTTACCAACTTGAACTTATCACGAGTCCAAACCTTGGATTAAATAAATGAACACATCAATAAGGGGTAACAGGTATTGACCTGCTTTGTCGGTGTAGGATTTGCCAAGGGATGTCACATACACCCCCTTTCCGGACTCAATGTCCTCGTTAAGGTTTGCCCCACTAAGTTCAAGAGAACATATGGAGTGGCTCTAAGACCATCTAAATATGGGGCAGCGGGTGTTTACTTAATACAACCAGCATCTCTCCCGTGCTTTTATTATTGTGGGATTCATCTAAGCGTATCACAAGTCCACTGCAGCAGTAAATCATACACCCAAAACGAGGAATGAAGAGGCCACCTTTTTTAGTGCTATTCAAGAACAATGCAATTGATTTTGTTTTAAAGAAAACTTCCATTTGCCTGCCTCTAATTTTAGTGAAATTTTTACATTATTCTCCAAGCAAATAAAATTACCAACCCAGGCCCTCAGAGATAATGGTCTTATCCACTCTCCCAATCCTTCACATCAAAAACGCCTCTCTATTCTAGCTAATCTAGAGCTGAAACTCTTTCTCTATAGGCAGGTCACACAATCAAAGCAACCATCTTCCACCTATATTCCCACCCTACCCTAGATGTCATGACTCAAACCTAGGATCTTTAACTCTCGTAGAAAGAGATTACCATTGGATTTGTGATCACAGGAGAACAATCCACCTTTTAACGTGTCCTCTAACCCCCATAGAAAGAGAATACCACTGGATTTGAGATCATAGGAGAACAATCCACCTTTTAATATGTGTGTAGGTTAGGCATGCAACTGGTCCTATTTCTTCAATTAAGGTAGGCTGTTAACAAGTCGAGTCGAGTCAAATACTTAAGTATTCGTGTTCGAGCTCACCTAAAAAATTCTAACTTTAGTTCAAGTATTTGATGAGCTCTAGATAGTTGAGCTCATACTCAAGCTCGAGAGTATTCAAACAAGTTTGAGCTTACTCGCGAACTCAAGCATGAGCTCGAATATTCAAGCGACTTGAATGTGAGTTTTTCACTGTAATTCTAAATTGTTCAATACCATAAATATGTCCATATTTTTTAAAATATTGAAATATCAAAAGGTTAAATAAGAGTATTATATTAATAAAAAAATAATTTAAAACTCCATTTAAACATTCTTATTATTAGTTCTAAAAAGTTCAAACCAAAACTCATTCAACAAATTATGCCACCATCCAAAAGAAAACATTTTTTCTTCAAGTCTTGCAACCCAACGGTTGAAAATAAAAACACAATAAAGCCAGGTTTAAGCTCAAGTTTATAGTAAGTTATTATATATATTAGATTAAAACCCTAACTTGGTCCCTCTACTTTGGTATAAGGCCCTTTTTAATCCCTCTACTTTAAAAAGCCCCTTTTGGTCCCTAAAGCTTGAAATCCAACCCCTTTTCAGTCCCTCCGTTAAGTTTTGACGTTAGATTACGAAAATTTCAAAGTAGAGAGACCAAAAAAGGACTTTTTTTCAAAGTAGAGAGAGACAAAAAATGAGTTTTTTTTAAAAGTAGAGAGACCAAATTGGGGGTAATTTTAGCCATTTTTTTATCCCTCTACTTTGAAATTTCTGTCATTTAACGTGCCATATGTGCAAAACTTAATGGAGAGACTAAAAAAGGGCAAGATTTCAAACTTCAGGGGAAAAAAAAAGCATTTTTAAGTAGAGAGACTAAAGAGGAACTTTTTACTAGAGTAGAGGGACCAAAATGAAGATTTAACCTATATATTATAATTATATATAAAAATTATTTAAATTGACACACATAAATATATAATATATTTTTTATTTTAAACCAAATACTATACTCGCAAGTAGCTCACAATTATTGATCTAAGCTCATACTCATTTTTTTATCAAATTAATATTAAGCTCGAGCTCTACTCATTTAGTTGTGAATGAGTCGAGCTTGAGTAGAGCTTGACAAGAGTAGCTCTTGAATAATTCACAAGCTACCCTATTCGCTAACAGCCCTGAATCAAGGGAATCAATGAAATCAAACATTGGACCGTACCTATATGACAAATAAGTAAATAGCCCATCCTCCATGTAATAAATAATCATGATAGATAATGTCTTCAAAATGAGGCCATTTCCGCTTTAATGTCTTTCTTACGAAAATATGAGTTCATTTATACTAATTTGGAAACATTACTTCCCTTCCTCTAAGAAAGATCACAGACATCTCTACAAGTCTTGTATAATTTCCCCCATCTATCCATCCATCCAACCCCATAGCTGATAGAGCAAGGATAAGATTTTAAATCATTTTATAGAGAATACTGTTGCAGTGTTGCTTATGAGATGATACTTTTTTAAGGTCCAGTACAGGAAAAACATAACATACAGAATCTTGTTACCTAAAAGTTTTAAGCTGTAATTGGCATATATATATATATATATATATATAATTATGCAACTAAATAGCTTTATTCATAACATCATATATAGCTCAAATCAAATTACTCCAAAGTTTTTAAAATCCCAACAATTTGAACATGATCTTTCTTGATTAGAGGTCTTATGTTACCCTCTGAATGGTCATGATTGAAGGAGATTGTCACACTTTATTGTACATATCTGATTCTAATTAAATATATTTTAAAAAATAAGCCAAAGTTAAAAATGATATTAATCGTAAGTTAAGAGAATTTGGAAAAGAAGAAAGCAAAAATTCTAAAGGTCTTTTGTAAAGTCAATCTGTGCAACAATTTAAACCACGTTTATCAACCAAACTTCACCTCCAACTAAAGGGTATCTCTTCCAAAGTAGATTTATCTTCTGGAATTTAGCCCCTGAATTAGTCCCAAATTGAAACTACAGTGCTGCCATGTTATGTCTTTTGGCAATTCACTTCATAGTTAAAACCTTATTTAGTCAGCCAACTTTTACATGATCTTCTTCTATAATTTTTTCCCCCAAACCTTATTCTTTAATTAAGCTGTCATTTTTAAAACTTTCCCCTTAAGATTCATAGAATGAAAGTCACCCAACTTTCATGTACTTTTCCATGATCTAAGCACTGCACTATTTCCTCTGGGCACTATGTAAGAAATGAAAAGCCACAGAAAAACGCAAGAATCCGACAGTAAGCTGATCCTTGGCCAAGTGGTGGAGCTCAAGAGGTAAAAATAAATTGGGATTTTAAAGCTACCAAAATCAATGGCCTTATAAAAGCATTTTTGTTCTATTCAGTACCCAACACATTGATTTTGACCGCACAGAAACTAACACCTGGCATTGACTAGGATGTTATGGAAAAGAAAACCAAGAAGGAAACAATCGAGGAGACAAACAGCCAATTCCTAATCACAACAATCCATGCAGGAATCATAAAAAGACAATAATGCATAGCTCCCATAAAAATAATGCCTAAAGAAAGTCTCTTTATGGATACCCAGAAATAATAATAGATTCATGCTACTATGCAGAAACGTAAATCCAAAAGGCAAACCCCACCCCCACAACCCCAAACCTCATGAAAAGGAGAGGGGGAGGGGGAGGCAGGGGGGGAAGAAAAAGAAAACCTGGCCAAGAACAAACAGGAGAAAACAAAAACAGAAAACAATATGTAGTAATTTGAAAGCCGAAAAGAAAATAAACGAAGATGATACTTGAGATGAGAATGTGAAGCTTACCAGAGAGAAGATGTGAAAAGTTGAATTTTCATTTTCCAAATGATCAGTTCTTTCTTTTTTCCTTCTGGTCTGAGTTCCTGCTTTCATCCCCGTAGGAGAGCTGTAAGCGTCCATCAAATCCAGCTGGGAACTGATGATGGTGAAGATTCTCCACGGGTGGTGTACCAATGAAGAAGGGAGAAGGTGATCCGTCTATAGGAGATGAAAACCTCTGGAAGTGGGGTAAAAAAGACGGACAATTGGACTGAAGGGTCCCCCTGTTGAAACCAGCAAGGCCAGAAGATATGGTGAAGTTGAGGTTGTAGTCAGCCACTGGCATTGGTTGTGTTGAAGCTACCGGGTTCAGATGGTCCGGCAAAAAGAAGTGTTGCAACTCCTGATGATTCTCACTAGAGACGTTAAAGGGAGGGATAGACAATGACTGCTGCAGAGAGTTTCCCAATTGGATTTGGCCCGCAAACCCCGAAGAAGGGTGGCCCCTTGACGAAGACGGCCCAAGTAGTCCTGCCCCGAAGTAATCCATCGAAGTTGCAGACCACTGTCGGGCAGCACCCTTATGGAACAAATTAGGCTCGCCATTGTGGTTTTGCTGAGCTGTTGCAGGACTACCGTTGTTGTTGTTATTGTTATTGTTGCCAACGCTGCCAATACCACCGGTGAGAAGCTCAGTGAAAGTGTTCTGGGAAATTGGGTGTATCCGAGACTCAAGCTCTTTCTCCTTCTCCTTCGCTGCTCTCTCTCTGGCTCGCTCCCGAGCTTTGACCCGATTCACGCGCATCTCCGACCTGGAGAGGGACAAACCAGAGTTCTTGCTGGTCTCAGAGGTGCTGCTACAGGCAGATTTGGACAAAGAAAGGTGCTGGCTTTGGTTTTGCTGATAGTTGTTGGGGTCACCATCTAGCTCCACTTCAGCTGAGTCAAACCCATGTTCGGCACTCCCACTCGCCCTCTTCTCATCACTCAATTGTTTAGGCGTGTCGGGAAATGAACCATTGAGTGACGGAAGCTCCGCAATTGCATCAGCAGCAGTTTTAATTAGCCACTCCACCGCCTTACTAGGCTGATCATAACCCAACCGATCTTGCAGATCGTAGAACTGAATCGCCGTGGTGACCGATAACCGGACCCTCCGGTCTCTTAGTCCTTTCGAGGTCCAGACCTTGCTGTGCCGATCTTTCCCACCGGTTGCCCGAGAAACCCTAATAATTCTCGAAGAGTGGTGCCACCCGCGAAGCCGATTAGCGGCAACGCCATCACCAGCGGCGGCCCCACCGTTCAAACCAGCTCTTTTAATGAGCTCTCCATCTTCTTCATCGGCTGGGTAGTTTCCACTTCCCTTTTGACCTATTCTGCTCGAGTCATTTTTTCCATTGCCGATTCTTGAGAATTTGCAACTCTGTTTCTGAATCTCCTCCACCTCCATAACACTTTCATTCCTTTCTCAAACCAATAACTAAAAACCCCAACCCCCAACTAATCCCCAACTTTAGTTGCTTTTCTTTCTTGGATTTATTATTATTGTAATAATGAACCAGAGAAAGAAAGCCGGTGACTTTAGAGAGAGAAAGCAGAGGCGTGTAGGGATTGCGAGTGGGGTTTCAGTGTCCTATGCATTGATGATAATAACACAGCGAGTACTTTGTCTGTGTAGTGATTAAAAGGCCTTTTTTCACGGTTCGACACATCACGGTCGAAGTCAGGAGGCTAGTCTCCTCTCTCTGGTTAAAAGCTTTGTGCAGTTGCGGAGTGATTTCAGAAGCAACAGAGACCTGAAATAATGGCAGCCACAGCCTGCAAAAAAAAAAAAAAGAAGGTAAAAATACCCACAAAGTGAAAACCCCAAAGAGCATCTGATGCTTAAATGTGCACAAAGGCTCACAGCAGTAATTAACTCACTCCATAGCTGGGATATCTAACTGTACCTATGTCTTATTTCACAGCAAAACCTAGCTAAAGGATTTTTTAAGACGGTAAGCTTTAACAAAAGTCGAAATGGAAAAAAGCTCAGTCTAGTTCTACCTATCTATCTAAGCTAACATACCCCTTGAATCTGAACCCCTTCTACTTCACAATTAAGCCAAAAAAAGGCAGTAATTGCCTGCCATCCGCCGATCTGAACCGACGCTTTTTGCTTCTGCTTTTGCTGCCTGAACATGGCAGACACCGATAAGGAGAAATAGTAAATGACAAAACCCCCCAGCAAATCCCTGTTTCTAAATTACCAACAAAGAATTTGAATTCTTTTTTAAGAAAAGAAAGTGATAATCGAATTTTTTTTCTCACCTTTTAAACAATGTCCAGTGTTTTTAACAGGTGTCCAGCTCTTAGATAATAAATAATTAAAGAAATTCGAATTTTCTATTTCTCCATCTTCTTCTCCGATGATTGGAGTGAACAGATCTTCGTTGCGTAGAAAACTAGAGCTCACAGATCTACAGTTATTTTGCCTCCTTAAAGAAGATTAAACTTCACAGATTAAAACCTGCATAATAAAGAAAAAAAATTAAACAAATTCCCTCAGATATTATTCACACAGTAAGTCATCAGTTCATCACTCTCCTCTCGAATTAAATCTCAAAAAATTAGAAAAAAAAAATTTGTAGACTCTGATAAGTCTCATTGAAGTATCGAACAAGAAAACAGCTTCGGATCAGTCCCGAAATATGGAGAAAAAAGGAAAAAAAATCGAAAAATAATTCGAATTAATTTTCAAGGTCATATCTATTTCTATTCTAGCTACAACTTAAACAGAAATTTTACAGATTTTTTTTTTTTTAAGTAAGGTTCTGAAACAAAAGGATGCAACAAGAACCTTGGTGCAGAATTTCCTTGGTTTCAAGTTTCACGCTTTGATAAAAAAAAAAAGAAAAAATGCGAGACTGATTTGCTTTCTTTTCCTGATTCTGCTTCGTCGGGCTCTGTTTCCGGTTCCTGAAAAGATGAAACCTCCATTAGTAATTAGCTCGCAGTACTGCAGTAGCTCTTCAATTGTTAAATATTTTAAAGCTGAAAAAAGGGAAGATTTGGAGACTTACAGAGGGAAGTTAGGGTTAAGTGTTTGGAGCGAGAGAAAGTGTAAGGAAAATCTTAGAAAATGGGAACTGAAGGAGATATTTAAAGTGAGGTTCAAAGTGAGAGGAGGTGGAGGAAAGAAAGGGAAGGCTCTTCTTCATCTCATATCCCCATTCTAGAAAATCACTGGGGGCTTATCGAGAAAGCACAGACAATCCGCTGTTCCAATCCTTAATATATCTTTAATATATGTCCCCTCCTTCTCCATTTATTTACTAAATTGCCATTTTGTAAAGTATGTATTACACTCCAAGGGATTCTTGTATTAGAAATTTGGTTAAATATTAATTTTTGTCTCTCAACTTCTATAGTATTGTATAATTTTTGTTATTTAACTATTTTTTATATTTTTTTAATCCTTTAACTTTAGAAATTACACAATTTTAGTCTCTTTATCAATTAAGTATGATGTGACCATTAAATAATTCCATAATGACATTTTTTTTAATTTTTTGATAATGTGACAATGACATATCTTGCAATTTAGATTACATAGACAAATAAAAACACCACAGATAATATTTATATTTTTAATAAAAAAAATTAGAAAGCCTCTTGAATCATCTTCTTCCCCTTCTTTCTTTCTCTTTCTTCCTCTTTCTTACTGCTAGGTTCAGTATCAAACCCAACAAAGTTGGGATCCACCGAACCCAACTGTTGGGTTCAATGGAACCTAGATTTGCTCTAGATTCCGTTGAACCTAGATCTGTTCTGGCTTCGTTGAAACCCAACTGTATTGGTTTTACTGAACCCAAAGCAGATTTGGGTTCCAATGAACCCAGAGCAGATTTGGGTTCCATTAATATGAAGAAAAAAAAAAAACCAATAAGCTAAGTTGGCAATTCAAGAGTTGAGGTGTTAAGCTGAATTGGTGAATAGATATTTTGAGTTATGCAGGACAAATAGCAACCACGGACTCATTATGTTATTTCCTTTAATTTTTCTTGCATTTTTTCATTGGACTATTTTGTATTGTAGCCAAGAATCATACAGCACTAGCATATGGATGCCGTGATTCCTTATTGTGAATATGCGACTATTTTGCTTTCTTCTTCCTTGAACCCTTTGTATCTCTCAT